CTCATTGATTGTGCCTTTACACCAAAGCACCCAACATTCTCTATATTTGCAAACAACTCTTTCATTTTATTTAGATTTCTATTTCTATAGCAGCCTGGGGAGGAATAATTTGTGTATATATATATATATATATATGGGATTGAAACTTTTTATTCATTTAGTTGCATGCTTTAGTCGTTTGTTCAAATGAGGAGAAAATATTACGTCTGAAGTCAGGACAATAAACTACATTCATACAATAAACACAACTGGATAGATGAGAGAAAAAAAATATCATTCTCTATGTATCGAAAAATTATTGCATGCGGACACCACATGTAAAATTTACGTACGCTGTTCAATCTGAACCTTAAAAAATTTAGAATAGTCCCCACTTTAATAATAATAATAATAATAATAATAAATATATTTCAGTAATTCAGATCGTACAATGCACACAAATTTATATGCGGTGTTCGTAAGCAATAAACACTCTTATTTTAGAGATGTAACATGGGTTCTTTTGGGGCTAATAATTTTTAAATTTTTCATGACGGATGACAGCAGCGCATGTGGGGCCCGTCTCTGTTCCTTCATTTGTCTTTTGGCATTTGTTCCCCGCCAAGCTGTAAGAACCACGAGGAGGGCAGCAAAATTTGCATCTAAGTCCTTGTATATCAGACTATTGCTTGTACATGTAATAGTTTTCTGTATGTAATTAACCTTGATTTCTCAATTTTAATTTTGACTTATTTTTTAGTATATCAACATAAAAGCTTATTTATATATTTGCACACTAAATTTTAATGTATTTAGATATTTAATTCCTAAAATTTAATTTTTACATATATGCCATTTTAATTATGCATGAAAAACTATATTTTATTTTATAAAAAAATTAAAATAATAATATTTTAAAAAATAAATTTTTAAGTGCTGGGATATCTAAAAAGAATTGGGTGGTATGTATGTAAATGCCCCCTTCTTCTTAATACTAATATGTTAGCGAGAGATTTTAAGCTGAACATTAAGGATAATATTTAATTATTCATTTTGAATGTATAAAGTACATGCGTCCATAACTAAGATTATTGCATATTTTTTTATTTAAATAAATTAATACTTATTTAGGATTTAACATATATAGCGATATTTGCATATACATATATCACACAAATCTTTTATATATTGTGATACTTATGATTAAATTGCTTGTGAGCTAAGAAAATTAAAAGAAAAATCAAAAATTAAAAATTATCTTCCTATAAAAGAAAAAAAAATACATAAAATACTTGAGAGGAAAATAGCCACAAAATTTAGCCCAAATGTATAATGTTCCACCCTTCTCGTCTCTGAAAAGAGACACTATTACAAAGCTAAGCAATTGATATAGATAGTAGGTGATATGCATTTTTGTTGGACATCAATATGAAAAAAGATAAGTCGTGTGAAGTGATGATTGTAGTGGAACAAATATTTTTCTTTTGGCAAACAATTGATAATAAGTATTGACATTGGTCAACAATGGATGAAAACGCCGATCATTAATGAGCATCATTGTCAATTGATGATAAACATAAATGTTGGTTGATAGCCAACATCAGTGGGGGATTGGCATTGATCAATGATAGATGTTAATATTAGTTGATTGTTGTTTGTGATCAATAATAATACATGCATTGATGTTGGCTTAGTGTTCAATTATCGATGTGAGCTGATGGTTGAACACTAATTTTAATTGAAGTATAGTGTTGGATAGTGGAGATGGAAATCAATATTGTGTGATAGATAGTGAGTGAAAGATGGTTATGGGATTGGTTTATAATTATGTTTAGTTATGAAAATAAAGAGTTTTAAAATTAGTTGATGACTAATTTTAAGTGACATATGATGACAAACATTGTCATTGGCCGAGAGGATGGCAATATCTATTGACAATATTTGTCGGGTTGCGGTGATGATAATTATTGACGACAGTCAAGGGTTAACACTAGACAATATATAATGACAGGCTTCAATGGTTTTTGATAGTGAGCATCAATGCTTATTGACATTTAGTGTCATAAGATGACAACAACATTCAATTGTATTGGTTGAAATCTGATATCAACTGATGGATAATAACTGGTGTTGGTGTGGTGTTAATTGATAATATATATATATA